CACACACACACACACACACACACACAATCCATTGGTTCCTGAGTACACAAATTTCTACACCAGCCTAAGTCTAAATAATGCCTTCTATAACTGCAAAGTTACAAAAAAATGAAAAGTTCCATCTCGTTCAAAAATGGCTTGTAAAAAAGGATACAAAACGTTTTAATTTAATATGAAACACACTGATCCCACATGACGAGTTTTTTTATGAAGTATACCGGATTATCGTTTTTTCTTTTGTTAAGTGTTTTACGGTGCTCGCAACTGCAAACAGTCATATGAGCTCGCGGGACTCATAAAACTTTTTGCGTTTGATTGGAAGTTTGAATTTTGCCCAGATGGCAGCCGAAGCCTACTCTTATTGACCAACAATGGATCTTTATCGGGCTCAACTTGCACACGGGACCTCTGAGATTTTTCGCTCGTATCCGAGAAGGTTAGGTGTTTGATCTTACCTACCTAAGATCAGGTGTGGTTTGAATGACAGCTGTAAGAAGAAGCCAAGGAGTAGAGCTAGAAAGCCTGCAGAGAGGGTCGGGAGTCTGGAGGAGGGGGCAAGGGTAGTGGGGGCAGGAAGTGGAGACGAAAGCAGACGACAGAACATTGTTAAAGAGCGGGGAAGGAGGTAAAAGGAGAACTTTTCAGAGAAGAAAATTTTCCGTCGCTGTCAGGTTTCGAACCCGAGACCTATTGAATGACAGGCGAACACCGCTATGTCTTTAGCAGCCTATCACATCCAATGATTTATTCAATGTTGATTTCAATGAGCAAAAGTTGACAATAACTAATTTCAACCACTCAGGCTTTTTAGGGCAAAAGTAACGCAAGATGACAGTGTTCTATGGTTTGGTTTTGGACTCTTTTCTGTACGTGATTTTTATACAATTCAAAGACTGAGAGCGGTTGACGGGTCCTAATTTTATATACTGAAGAAAGCAAGATAATAACGTTGGGAACCGAAACTGAAGCAAGGGTCTCTCACTTAACTTCTTTAAATAAATATTAATTTATAAGTTGCCATAGGGCATTCCTTTCATTAGAACAGGGAGTATTTTCATCATAGTACATTAGTAGTTTTGTATTGGAGAGAAAAAATATTAATCAATGGAAAAAGAGCGATAATAACTAATGATGATAATAATAATAACAACAACAATAATAATGATAATACTGATAACAATGATAATAATAATAATAATAATAATAATAATAATAATTATTATAATAATAATAATAAAGAAACAACAACAACAACAACAACAACAACAACAACAACAACAACAACAACAACAACAGCTACATCACCGAGAAGGTCCCAAGCCTGTCTAAGATGAATACTACTACATTTTTTAAAGTCACTCACCCTGCTATAGCGTTCCACAGAGGTCCGGTAGTTTGAAGTAAGCGCACGGTGCGAGTCACAGCTCACAAAGACGTTGTTCTATACAGATGGCGGCCATTTACAAAGGGAGAACGAGGGGCAAAAACAAAACTAATGAAATAACGTGCAAAAATGGAATTGAAACAGCACTTTGTACTGAGTTTTGTGTAAATGATGCAACACAATGTGTAGGCACTCTCCAAGGGTATTTTTCTTTCATTTTTGGGATGTGTGTGCGTGGGGGTGGGGTGTAAATCAGGAGTCAGAGAAACAGGACGTTTGTGCCAGAGATAGAGACATGTAATCTTGCCTCCCTGGAGTGAAGGGCTCACTGAAGGCTGTGAAGCAGTAAACAAAAAGTAGGTTCACGGGCGATGATTTTAACATGACACTAACAGGTGATAATAAAGAGTCTTTTTTCTGGCTTTAAAATTTTAGCATCATCAGCAAGAAGACAAAACATCTCCGGGTTCACGAGGAGAATTGAGAAGTTACTGTCCAGTCAGCAAGAGTTTATATCAGCAAGGTCATGGGGAAAACCTTCTTTATAATTTGTTTTGAGAATGTGCGCAGTGAAGTGAAATAACACGATGTTTACTCGAAACAATCTGCTGACAATGTGCTCTTTTTCTGTAATTAAGTTGTGAAATAGTTCAGTATACGCCCCTCTTTCTTCGCACCCCCCTACCCTCTTCTTCCTATTCCTCCTCCTCCTCCTCCCAATAGCTAGCTACTTCAGCAAATTCCCGCGTACAATCCAAAATGTTTGTCCTCTCAGTAAAATTAATATGCCAAATGTTTTGCGCTAAGTTCTTCTTATCGTTGGTGTTTAGCGCTTTGTTAGCTCTATAATATGTGTGCTTGCTTTTGCTCGTACAACTGTGAGTCTGTATGAAATGTGTGTACTACGGGCGTGCGCGCGCGCGCGCACACACACACACACACACATACACACACACACACACACACACACACACACACACACATACACACACACATATACATATATATTTATAATATATCTATTATCTATTTGTGGTGGCCGAATTTTGCTATTCAAAAGGCTTTTAAATGGCTGCATCGACCGACATGCTGTTTCCGCCAAAAGATTTTTAAAAATATTCTCCTGATCACGACGCCCTTCGTTTTTTTTCAGTTTTGAGACAGTTTTGCTGCAAAAAGCTAAATTTCTTTATTTCGCCGATCGCTTTTGTAGACCGACGCTTCTGTCTCTGTAATTTTAGAAAATCCGCCAGGTTTGTTTATTTCAAGTCGTACTTCCGTCCGATACTATCGCGCATTGTGGCGCAATACTGATCACTATTTTAAGTGTGCAACCTGTATAGATCTAGCCTCATGTTTTCTTTTTTTACTTGGTGCTAAATTCAACTGTGACTGTGATCCTTTTGTTTGATGCCCATCATCGCTTTTTCTGGACTCCTTTGTCAAATTCTTTTTCTTACTACTGGGAACAATCAACACGCTTCTGTACAACCACGAAAGCGGAATAGAGAATCAATCTATGCATCTATTATATATTTGGCAACTTGGAAACACATGTGCCACTTTTCTCTCAAGATTTATTACTCCATTCCAGTAGAGTGTAAATATAGTAGACCAATAACATTCAGTTGATGTTAATGCACCGATCATTCCTTTCATCGAAAGGGGGCCCATATATATATATATATATATATATATATATATATATATATATATATATATATATATATATATATATATATATATATGTGTGTGTGTATATATCACACGTGTGTGTATATATGTGAGTGTGTGTGTAACATTATTATATAATTTATAATATTACACATATATATAAAATATATTATATATATATATATATATATATATATATATATATATATATATATATATATATATATACATACATATAATACACACATGCACACACACACACACACACACACGCACTCAAACACACACACACACACACATACACACACACATACACTCACAGACACACCAATATGTGTGTGTCACCGCTCGTCAATTTCTGGGCATATGGAGTTATTGGTAGCATCTTAAAGCCTGACCATTTACCTTGCTTTTAATGGAAAAAATATCCATTTATCTTGGATACTAGAAATCTAGTCAAGATATTGGCAATTGAAGGGGGTGGTGGTCGCCTGGTTTCAACTAGAGGTAAAATTAGCGAATAAATGGCCGCCTAAATTGCGTTATTTCCTTATAGCTTGAGAGTCCGTGGACACTGAAAATATACATCTTTTATACCTTTTATCAACGTTTTTCCAGTAACATCCACACACAAATGTGTTCTTTAATGGGCAGGAAAAAACAAAATTTTATAAAAATTCCCAAAACCTGCGAAAAATGCCAGTTTCTTCACTTTCATTATTTTGACGAGTGCCTGATTTCACCACGCTGCCTCTCACGTACACACACACACACACACACACACACACACACACACACACACACACACACACACACACACACACACACATATATATATATATATATATATATATATATATATATATATATGTATATATATATAGAGAGAGAGATATCTATATCTTTATATACTCTTTAACATTTTTAACTTTGCACATTTTAAGAGCGAGTAGCTCAAAAAACTACACATCCAATTACTTTGAAAATTTTCTTCTCCTCACGAAAGCTCCTTGTCGTGCTTGAACTGTATTCACTATGGTGCACTGGTCTATTGTTTTGTCTGACGATGGCATTCACGAGGTTTTGATTGTTTGTCAAATACTGTGAAAATGTGTGGGCAACTTAGAAAACAAAAACGACACAAATAAAGTTGGACTCCTTCCAATTTTTTAGTCACATGGAAAAGTGGCCTTTTAAAAATCGATCCACCATGCTTCGACTAAATGAATCAGAAAAAAGTCACATCATAGAAATGCTTCAGGTGGGCCCTCCGCTTTCGTTACT